AAAAAAAAAACGTCCAGATTAAAACAAAACACCAAAAATTTTAATTTTCGATGAAACTTCGTCTATAGGGGTAATCCGATGCCCCGATAACGAATATGACCTTCACTTTTGGCGCTGGCGCCAAACCGAAAATGAAGGTCATATTCGCTATCAGGGCATCGGATTACCCCTATAGGCGAAGTTTCATCGAAAATTAAAATTTTGAGTTTTTGGGGTTGTAATAATGGAATAGTAGCGACAATTGTTATGAGGGGAGACTACTAGAGATGGATCTCAACGATTAGTGCTTACTGATGATGGTTACTTAATGTGAGGATGCGCATCATTGCCAAATAATTGCTAAATGAAATGCTTTATCATTTTCCGGGATTTATTTGTAGAATTTCTTTCCAGCTGGAAACAATGGTTTTATAGAAATCTTGATTTTATCGATGTTCGAGAATTGGTTGATATTAGTACATTCGCCATCATTCAAACTCTCAGGTCTAGACCCATAAAGCCTTAATGAGAGACACAATTGTGCTTGAATAATCTGTCTCCAAAAAATCATAATGACTTACAAAAGTAGTTTCCTTCAATGCGAAAACAATACTCTCGAGTAAAGGGGCTCGAGTAGAAGCTACTGACTACAATATCTGTTAACTCACAGGCTCAAAGGTGAGTACACAAACAATCACAACTATACATTGGTTTATACTAAAGGCATTGAAGTGCTCTAAAAAATGTCAGCCTCAGCTTCAGACAACGATTGTTTCCATCTTACATAAAAAGTGATTAATCATGTCACTGCTGTTGCGCAGATGTGTTCCAGATCAGCAAGTGACTTTTCAGTGAAGAAATGCCTTCGAACATCTTCAGGAAGCAACTGGCTGACGGTGGACGCGACCAGCAATAGAGCAGCCGACTGAGCAGCACCGTGAACGGCCACTCGGGCACTGAAGCAACCAGCAAGGAGTCCGGCTGCCTGGGTTTGGATTTCTCGGACTGTTTTATGAGATTTGAGGCGGCTGTCTTCTGGAAAAGAGGAGCATAGATTTTTCTGTGAAGCAAACATTAACATAGTGCTTATGACAGATTCTGAGAAGGTTAAAAAAAATTTGTGATAAATTAGAAAATGAGCTTGACCATAAGCGTTATGGATAAAAGGATAAAGTCTTCGAGCGTTAATCAGTCCCATTCGCCCCCTCTTTCGACAATTAGAATCGTATTGAAGGCGTATGTGGCCTGTTCAATGACTTACGGTGGGCGGGCAATGTACAAGCCAGTTCTCCTGAACGAGTCTGTTACCCAATAAACCGACCCTGGAAGGATGGAAAGGCTCGGTTGGCTCAGACGGGTATCGATCCGAGATTCGAATCAGTGATCATGCGTAAGTGATATTACGCCAATTGCCACTACCCCACCACCGCCCGTATTTCTATCTTTATGAGTACAAAAAGATGTAGTTGCAGGTGGCGCACTATCTCACACGCATGGTCACGGGTTCGAAGATGCATCGATATCCGCCCAGGCCAATCAAGCCTTTCCATCCCTCCAGGGTCGAGTAATTGATACCAGACTCGTCTGATAGGATAGGCGCACTGTACGGGAGGATAGATGCGCTGATTTGTACATCGGCCGACTACCGCAAGTCATTGTATAGACCACATACGCATTCAACCACATCTACGACTCCGAATGGAAGTGGGATACTCCCGGGAGCTCGTCCCTCATACGGTTTATTATCCCCATGTCTATCGTGTGAACAATCGAAATGGTGCCGTTTTTGACGGCTCTTACTCTTGAGTTTCGTTGAAAGATTAGTAACTATGGGTGAGAAATTGTGATTATAAATTATTATTCAGTTTTATCAAGCTCCGTGAGGAATACAATGGATACTCACGTTTATTTGATGCTTCATACCATTTCTCATGTCATAAGCTCTGAGATGTTCAATAATAAAAACAGTAATGGGCCATAAATGCTATGGAAACCACTATTTTAATAGGTACATCTCCATTCGGATAAACCCTTCGATGCAGAAGGAAAGATTAACATTTTAGGGGCTTTGGCATGCTTTTCCAACAACGTGAAGGAAGGGGAACGATATCCATCAAAAAGGATGTGGCGACAAAGATTCGCAGAGACTGACTATAGCCGTAAAGTGTTTATACAAGTTGTGACTTTAACAACTGAACAAAAATGTGTATGGTGTATGGTAAACAACTGCAAAAAAACAAGGATTGCTAAAGGTAAAAAGCAAAAAAATGTAAAATTGCATCAGGAAGTGAAACTAATTAATTGGTTGAGGAGTTCATCTGAACGGGCAAGAAACTTCCATTCGCCCACTACATATGGAGAAATCTGTGTTCGGTCTCGTAATTTCAAAGGGCCCTATGCAATTTGTACATGAGCCACACCTAGTAGATGATAACCGGGATGGAAACTAAGAATCTCATCGGTTTCGAAGTAATGATTCACAGTTTTTTCAGAAATGTGAATTTGCGGAAATCTGAGTAACATCAGCGATCACGTGATGACTTCTGAGGTCTCGAAGTTCAATAGGGTAGTGAAGCGCTTGGTCGCATGGACAAAATCGCTTCGATTCTTCAAGGATCTGAAGAAAGCGATCCTGCTGAACCGTTCCCCGTCAATAAAGACTTATAGCGACCTAGCCTAGAGTTTAGGCAGAGAGGTCAATAACCAGCCATTTCACTAATTCGACCTGATTTTCTACTTTGTTTATTTACCTGGTCGGAATAGCAAGATGCTGCTGATAGTCCATTGTTCAAGAGGTGAAAGATGAAGATTGGAGACGAAAGACCAAGTCGCCACCATTTTATCGTTGCCTGAATGATGTCAGTCACTATGGAGGAGTTTTGAGATTGCATATACTTTCTTATTCCTTCTTATTGAATAGCTTCATCAGAAAGTCTCACAAAGAGGACTAGGACTGAAAAGGCATGAAAAGAGACGGCAACTACCTCCAATCGTTTGATTTAGAAAAAAATAAACAACTCTGAGCTTTAAAGGGATTTGAAATAAAGCCAGCAAAGTGACCCATGTTGTGACATTCCGACATTGCTTTGAGAAAGCTTCGTTAGCAAAAATTGGATGAGTAATGAAAACCCTAACAAGCTCTGACCAGGACACCCATTTAATCCGAACGCAAAATCATCAAAAACCAAATCAAGTCCACATCGAAGGTGAACCCTCTAGCACCTGAAGCGAGATTATTGATATTGTACTTCAAACAGGCCAAAGATGCTCACGGTAAGACTCCGACTTTTTTTCTCTTACAGGGGTATCTCATTTTGTGAAATAGTTCGTCTGCTACATGGATTCGATTTGTAAGTTTGAAAGATTTGAGACAAACCATCACAAGAAGGCGGTGGTCCTCGCTGACAGGCTTTACACAGAAAGAAGATTAGGTGCCATGAGTTGGTAAATAAAATCTGTAATGAGAATTTGTAATGTCATTCATGTACTGGATTGATTTCGATCTGTAGAAACTTTGAAGACTCTCGTTTCATTTGTGTTCGACTTGAGTATTTGACATTATCAAATACCTTCTTATCCTCAGCATTGATTAGTAACATTGGTGGCGAACAGGACCATGAACGGATCAAGGAACACAGTGAGTATTCGCTGAGTGGAGCTACGAGACGTGAAATTGAGAAGTCACCTTAGAATGACGGTCTAGTATATTGTAAAATACGTGTAAGAACTTAATATAGGCTTACGCAGTTTCCCAGTAGGAGGCTTGAAGCTATCATCTTTCTCAGAGTTCGACGCCGATGTGCTTGTCACACTGGAATGCTTCCTGATTGTTACGAGACGTAAAATATGTCAGTCTGAGAGCTAGTACATACTGCTAAGTATAAACGCTTCTCAAAAGAGACATGAGAGCTGCTCAGGTAAAGAGCATAGTGGTGGCGGCACTGTGCCCCAAAAAGACGAATGAACTCTGACAGATTCTATGTCAAGGCGACTTTGTAATATTTAGATAAGTTGAGATCTTTAGTATAGAGGTTCCATACCCTAGTGAACAAAAAACTCCATTTTTATTTCAATTCTTACACTAACCATACTAGCTTACGACTGAATTTCTTTATTGACTGAAGATGCCTAAAAATGAAGTTGCGCACTGCCTTTGAGCGCTGAGACATTCGTCCAAGTCTGTTTCGGTGAGGAGGGCATGTCGTTTCATTAAATGCTGTACGAGGAGTACATATTACCCTCACTCACGAAACGAAGTAGCCATACAGATCCTGGAGCTCGCCGTGCTCCATCTACTTCTCTGAGGTTTTACGAGGGTTGCCTTTTATATTTCGGGATTGAGCAACCCTAGTGTTGCAATCTGGCAACTGACAGCTCTATCATAAAGTTTCGCTCTTTTGGGGTCGTACTTATTCAGAACGTTTTGACATATGAGCGCTCTTTGTGTTTTTACACTAAATTAAAAAATTTACTTAGGCCCTAGTCGCCCCCACTTACACCAAACCTCCTTCCCCCTTAACCTCCCGCTCCCACTTTGACGATGAGGCTTCATCAAGGACCAGTGCTAACAGGTGGTATGGTGAAATTACCCGAGGTCGTAGTTCACTCCCAAACGAATTTCATGGAGGTCTCCAAAGTCAGTTGTTCTTCCGATGCTGTGCGCAAACTAATACTGCAAGACCGTCATGTGACCTATCGTGACAACCTTAGGCATTAAAGAGACTAACATTCAATATTGCATGGACATTTGACCGTAAAAAACTTGTTTTCGAAAAATTTGTCAATCC